GAGAATTTTTAATTAAAGTATATTACAAACTTTTAATTTAGACCCTAAAGAATCATATTAGCTTGTACAAAAATGGCATTATATGACCCCTTTAAGAGTGTGGAGTGTGGGTTTTTTTTGTGCACTTACGCGTGCCTTACGAGGACTTACAAGGACTTACAAGGACTTACAAAGATAACAGCTACACGTGTATGCACTATGCAAGCACTATATACAGGATTTACCCTACTTTATCGACACAAATTAATAAGTCAAACACCCACCCAGAAATAGTCTATAGGCTCTCTGTGAGTTCACTTGAACTAGAGTTAAATTAGGCTACTCGTCAGGATACAGAAGAATACCATAATACCTCCGTTCAATTAGGCCTAAGACATCGAGAGTCACGCAGATCTATAACAACCCAGCCACAACACATAATTAGGAATAACATGCCTTAACACAGAATGGATTTCAAGTAATTCGCTCACAGATCAATGGCCTCCAACGTTTATATTTTTTCTACGAATTTTTGAGTTAACATGTAGCCTACTAAACATGATTGGAATTTGCACCGCAGCGCCACCACACCTTGATGCTCATGACAATAGCATAGGCCTCGTTATCTTTATTGAAGTGAATTAGGATTAAATCGCCGTCATTCATGAATGAATGATATTTTTGCTATTTTACACATAATAATCCAGGATGATCATATTACACAAAACTGAAATTGCATGCTTGCATGCCACAGCGCGGATGAACACAATGTTTGAGGAGAGTGTGTGTGTCAGTCACCGCCGGTGTGGATACTGGCATTCAGAATCACAGATTATTCTTTTTGGAAGTATGACCAACATAATAATTTTCACCCTAAAATGTCATCAGAACAAGTGAGTAACATCCACTTTTGATCTTCTGACCAACTAAGGGGAAAAAAAACCATTGCAGTAAATCGCGCTAATTAAATAACGATCGATTATCATATCACATCAAACCGTGCAAACTTTGTTCTCAATTTGGTAATGTTAACAACATCAGCATTGCGGGACTACATTTAATGCCCTTCAGAAATTTATCCTATTTATCTCAGTCCAAAGTCTTGCATTTTACAGCGGGTGAATCTCTAGTTGTCACTGTTGATTGTCGTTTGAACCTTTCTGGATCCGCCATCAAATTGATAAATTTAATAATATCAAGAGCTGTGAGAAAAGGCTATAAATCTCCACCTCCAACATCCTCACACGCAATATAGCTTATACTAGCCGAGACTCTTCTTTATGTGTACAGATGTGTGTGTACAGATGTGTGTGTACAGATGTCCGTGTACAGATGCGTGTGTACAGATGTGTGTGTGTACAAGTGTGTGTGTGTACAGGTGTGTGTGTGTACAGATGTGTGTGTGTGTGTGTACAAGTGTGTGTGTGTGTGTGTGTGTGTGTGTGTGTGTACAGGTGTGTGTGTGTACAGATGTGCGTGTACAGATGTGTGTGTGTACAGATGTGTGTGTACAGATGTGTGTGTATACAGGTGTGTGTGTGTGTACGTGTGTGTGTACAGATGTGTGTGTACAGGTGTGTGTGTGTGTGTGTGTGTGTGTGTACAGTGTGTGTATGTGTGCAGATGTGTGTGTACAGATGTGTGTGTACAGGTGTGTGTGTGTGTGTGCAGATGTGTGTGTACAGATGTGTGTGTGCAGATGTGTGTGTACAGATGTGTGTGTACAGATGTGTGTGTGCAGATGTGTGTGTACAGTTGTGTGTGTGCAGATGTGTGTGTACAGATGTGTGTGTGTACAGATGTGTGTGTGTGCAGATGTGTGTGTACAGATGTGTGTGTACAGATGTGTGTGTGCAGATGTGTGTGTACAGATGTATGTGTGTGTGTGTGTGTGTGTGTGTGTGTGTGTGTGTGTGTGTGTGTGTGTGTGTGTGTGTGTGTGTGTGTGTGTGTGTGTGTGTGTGTGTGTGTGCAGATGTGTGTGTACAGTGTGTGTATGTGTGCAGATGTCTGTGTACAGATGTGTGTGTACAGGTGTGTGTGTGTGTGTGCAGATGTGTGTGTACAGATGTGTGTGTGCAGATGTGTGTGTACAGATGTGTGTGTGCAGATGTGTGTGTACAGATGTGTGTGTACAGATGTGTGTGTGCAGATGTGTGTGTACAGATGTGTGTGTGTGTGTGCAGATGTGTGTGTACAGATGTGTGTGTACAGATGTGTGTGTGCAGATGTGTGTGTACAGATGTGTGTGTGTGTGCAGATGTGTGTGTACAGATGTGTGTGTGCAGATGTGTGTGTGCAGATGTGTGTGTACAGATGTGTGTGTACAGATGTGTGTGTACAGATGTGTGTGTACAGATGTGTGTGTGCAGATGTGTGTGTGCAGATGTGTGTGTGCAGATGTGTGTGTGCAGATGTGTGTGTACAGATGTGTGTGTGCAGATGTGTGTGTGCAGATGTGTGTGTACAGATGTGTGTGTACAGATGTGTGTGTGCAGATGTGTGTGTACAGATGTGTGTGTACAGATGTGTGTGTACAGATGTGTGTGTGCAGATGTGTGTGTGCAGATGTGTGTGTACAGATGTGTGTGTACAGATGTGTGTGTACAGATGTGTGTGTACAGATGTGTGTGTACAGATGTGTGTGTGCAGATGTGTGTGTGCAGATGTGTGTGTACAGATGTGTGTGTACAGATGTGTGTGTGCAGATGTGTGTGTGCAGATGTGTGTGTACAGATGTGTGTGTACAGATGTGTGTGTACAGATGTGACGTAATGACTCAAAGACATGCTCGAATCTACCGTTGAAATCCACCAGTACCACTGGAGTTACAAACATTATTACAAGCTTACCGCTTTGAATCGAGCTAAGGCAAGCAGATAGCGTTGAACACTGGCTGGTTATGTATTTTCTCAAAAATGTATTTTGAATAGCCTAATCTTTAACCCAAAAAAAGCTACGGACTGCAGCTTTAAATATAGTTTATCCTTATTATTATTATTTAATGAGGCTATAAATTAGCCTAATTATAATCAACACCTGCAAGTGTACACTTTGAAGAGTCAACTTTAAACTGCATATTGCCTAATCAAATTGCACTTCCAAAAGTCATACATTTGTGAAAAAAGAAAAAAAAAAGAAATAAACGAATTCTTTTAAGTAGGCTATAGCCTAATAAATAAAACATGAAAGGCAAAGATCAGAACATTTAATGAACAAACCCGGGTTCTGGGTTGTTGTTTAGGCTAATTTAGTTTTATACGTTCTCATATATTTTGTTCTAATAATCTCACAAGTAATAATCTCAAGGTTTACTGTATTTTACACGATTCTTTGGATCTTTTGAATAGCGCGGGTTTGGTGAAGTGTAGGTAGGCTACAAAAAAACAAACATTGTCACGTGTAGCACCTTCCTCTTCCTGAAGAAGCATGAGGTAGTTCCATCGCCAATCTGATAAACTGGAAAATGTTTTCTTTCTTGTTTAAAATCATTTTCTTTAGTGAGGTAATGGTTCGGCGTATTTCTGGTCTTCATCTACGCGATGGGCATCAAGGTAAGAACAGAGTTAATTTTTACTTATGATCCTGATGAATTATAACTTTTAAGTCTAAGCTGCTTATGCAACCGGCCACAGGTTAGGCTATTTAAAATAGTTTTTTCGATGTTTATGCGACTTTTCAGACTCCTTTATTGACTTTTTTTTTTTTTAAAGAGCCTATAGCGACTTTTTGGACAAACTTTAATATCCTAAAATGTTGCCAGTAGCCTGTCCTGCGAGCGCGAGGTCTTGCTTTCCCCCTGCCGTCACTCTCTCTGCATCTGCATCTCCTGTTTAGCGAACGGAAGAGGACCAGAAGCTCATTCTGACGCACGGTCGTCATTGCATGTGCCAGTGGATAGCGTCACATTATCGCGACACACCTGACTGACACCGAATCGCGGAACGTCACCGTATGTTGTGACACCTCCAGTAGTGACTGGCAGATGAATCGTGACACTTAATCCTAAATAAATAGCCTAAGTTTGTGATATTTTAAAAAATCAATTAAACGCATTAAAGTCAGTAGCCTAATATTTTTTCAAACGTGTTATTTATGACCCTCTTGGAATTGCTCTGTTTATTATGTCAGGTCTGTATTTGATTGGCATGTGTCACTGAATGTTTTGTAATACCAGTGCTCAAGGGTGTAACTTTTTTTTTCAAAATGGGGAAACATTTTCCGATTTGAATCCAATTTCCTGCATTACATACATTGAGGGAATATGGGGACACAAAATACAGGAAATAATTTGATTATAATGATAAATTATGCCAAAAAGAAGAATAGTATACTAATATAATATAGGCTACTATACAAGAAAAATACGTCTTACTTTCTTAATTGTTTAATAAGGGCCGATCGACAAGACTTTCGAGAATCATTTTATATTATTACAAAACATTTTTTTTTGTGGATAAATAAAATTAAAATAATGTGAGACTTAATTTCCACTGTAATGTAAAAGCAACATAAAGACAGTATATTTTAAATAATTGTTTAATGGCATCTGTTTATGAATGAAGGCCAGAATCACTGATATTAATAGCTACTGATGTCTAGATGAAAATGAAGCGGATTTTCAGTTTTTGTCCCAATAAAAAGTGTTTTTATTGTTGTTGTTTGTGTTTTATGTTCCTCAGAGAGACATGAATTCTACTACATGTTTACAGTCTTGACCATAGGAGAACAATTCCCCACGTTCAGAGGTGTGGGTGTTGTGGATGACAGACAGATCGCTCAATGCAGTAGTGAAGTGGGAGAAAGGATAATAGCGAATTTAATTAAATTTGAGACCAAACCAAAACCTTTTACAGAACCATATGATTCTAGTGACTGGTACAAATATCAGCTGTACAGACTGTCAAAGTGCACACAGTGTTCTGGTGAGTTTAATGCTTTTCTCTTAAGAACTATCAGACATGTTATGGAATTGGATATATATTATTTTATTTCTCATGAGTGTTGTTCTGTGATTGTAGAGCTTCATGTTCTTCAGAGAAGAATTGGCTGTGAACTGGAGAAACTTCCTGATGGATCAGTGAATCAGACTGTCTTTGATGATTATGGATTTGATGGAGAAGATCTTATAACCTTTAATAATGACACTATGCAATGGATTGTGTTAAGTCCAAATGCCATACAAATCAAACAGGAATGGGATCTTTACACAGAACGCAATAAATTCCTGCAGCGTTACCTCAACAACTGCATTAACTGGATCTCCACATATAACAACACAAATAGTAGTAAGTTTTAATCAGATCACATTAATTATCTCCTGTCTCTGTGTGTGTTTGTATGAAAATGTGTTTCTAATTCTGTCTCAATCCAGCAGCCATTTATCGTCTTGCAGTGACAAATAAATACGAGTGAGTTTAAAATGTAAAACTATTGAGGGGGTTCAGAAATGCAAGTGAAAAATTGTCATTTGAGTCTTTTATTTAACTTTATAGGTTTGTATCTAAAAGTGACATTCTTCACAGCAAAAACAGATCTTAGAAATGGTAAATGTTTAAGTTTTGCTTCATGCATGCAGGGGTTTTCTCTACACTCTTAGATGTAATTGTCATGTTTATTAGTGCAGATCAGTGTGGAGTGTAACAGAGTTTGTTTTCTAGAAGCAGTATATAGTGTCTCTGCAAATCAATGGATGTTCGTCTGGATTGCAGGAGTTTGATCTTCACAGTGGATTATCAGATTGTATGTCAGCTTACTAAATTATTAGATATAATTATACAAGTAAAACATGCCTACTCACTTGGCCTATGATGTTGTTGTTGTTTTTACCAACTTTCTTCTGTGGATCTGTTATGGTTCGGGTGTGAGGAAGATAGCGTACAATGACAAAGAAGACCTTGGAATAATATTTTAATAATTTAATTGGAAAAAGTACAAAGAGTGTCACAACCACAAACGAGAACCGACAAAGACAGAGGGAGAACACAGGGAATATAAACCGACAAAGACAGAGGGAGAACACAGGGAATATATGTGACAGGGAGGAACCGATTAAACTGATTGACAAGATAATTGAAGACACACAGCTGAACCAAAGACAGAATCATTTTTTTGTAAATGTTTGTTTGTTAATTTGTGTTGTTATTGTCTGCTCCAGGTTCTCCAGATGTTCATGTCTCTGTGAGTAAATCTCCAGCTGATGACAGTAAGCTGGTTCTGGTCTGTCTGGCCACTGGTTTCTACCCCAGAGATGTTCAGATGAACATCAGAAGGAACAGAATTAATCTTGAGGATCAAACATCTTCTGGAATCAGACCAAATGATGATGAAACCTTTCAGAAGAGAATCAGTGTGAAGATCGACAGAAACCATGAAGGATCTTATGACTGTCGGGTCACTCACAGCAGTCTGACAGAACCTGTTACAGTAAACTGGGGTAAATATCATCATATTTACCCTCACATATTTGTAACAGGAGAATATGATAATGCTGGAATAGATTAAAGTTGCCGTTTTAATAGTTTATGATGTTGATATAAAACATTTATTTAAACATTTTTATTGAGTTTGTTTTTATTTATTATATTTTTTTCACTCTGCAGATGGAAAATGTTCTATCTGTGAATCAGAATCTCGATGGTCTAAAGCAGGAGTGATGACTGTAGTTGGAGCTGTAGCTGTAGTTTTGGGTCTTATCGCTCTCATTGGGATTCGCTGGTACAAGAGAAGGTCAAATGGTGAGTAATTAATATTCAGCATGATCAAATTCTTTTTTGCCCCCTCTGTTTAAAGACATTTTTAAAATGTATGAACTATAAATGAAAAGTTTGGCAGTTTACAATGGTAGAAATATGTGGGCATGGTGAAAGAGATTTTGATCATTTTGAAACAAATGAGAAGTGTGAATAAATGTACATATGTTTATATTTATTATATTATTTATTTACAAGAACATAATATGTATTTTATACTGTATCTTTCCGGTCAGAGGAGAAGTTCTTCCTCTTACGGCGCAGTGATCGGATACCGATGGCCAGTCCAGATTCGACCATGATGATCATGGATCTACAAGCGGATGGATCTGAACGGGTCATTAAATGAAATGTTTTTCATGTTTGTTCATTCTGAATGTGTTATACTTTTCCAGTTATTTTCGGCAAAATGTGCATTTTGTTCTGAGTCAACTCTGCTTTATTAACAATAATGTTGACAAATCTTGTTTATTATGTTCTTTATGCTCGGCAGAAATATGATGCTTTCACATTTGAGAGTCTCTTGAAACATTTCAAAGGGTCGAGATCACGTAATAAATGTTACATTTAGTTCTCTAGTTCAGTCAAATGGACAGAAGGGAATTGTGAATTAGTGTTTTATATAGAAGTGAAACATCTGGGAGTTTAAAATCTTCTGTTTTCTGTGATCTGATCAAAAGTGAAACAGAAAACACATTTGAAACGCTTGTTAAACCAGTTAAACACGGATCAGTTTCACAGTGTTTTACTCTTCAGAAGGCAAACAGTGAATTATTAACAGTTTTTAACATAAAACTCAAACTGATCACCTTTAAGAACTAAGACTGTTATAAATTGCAAAGCCAAGGCATTTTTTAGCTCATTATTTTTACCTTGTTGAAAATCATAATGTGGGGAAAAAAACTAGTCAATAATTATTATTACATTTAATACTTATTACTATTAAATAATATTTTCAGCTATTTTCAGCTGCTACCAGGCAGAGTATAATTTTGTTACCAGCAGTTATTCACTGTTTCTCTCTGTTCACAGTGTGCGTGCGTGCGTGCGTGCGTGTGTGTGTGTGTGTGTGTGTGTGTGTGTGTGTGTGTGTGTGTGTGTGTGTGTGTGTGTTATTCGCTGTATCTCTGTATCATCTGCTGCTAACATACTGACAGCAAGTGAGATTATTATGGGGTGCATGAGTTATGTTCAGTACTGGGATCAGACAAAATACTTTAGAAATAAGTTTTTACATTTGTGGTTTAATATTTTCATTAAAAATATTATGAAATCATAAAAAAAAAATTAGACATGTTAAAAGTTTAATCACTAGATAGTGTTTGTTCATCATTGTTACTTTTCATTCCTCACCTCAGCCTCTCTTCTCTTACATGAATCAATACATGAACTACTGTAAGTGTTATTAATCTACTGTAAGTGTTATTAATCTTATTAATCTACTGTAAGTGTTATTAATATACTGTAAGAGTTATTAATCTACTGTAAGTGTTATTAATCTACTGTAAGTGTTATTAATCTACTGTAAGTGTCATTGTCGTGATTGTTTAAACTTTTAGCAGACGGTTAAAGTCTACAGGCTGATTTTATATAATGATCTTCCACTGGAATCAACGTCCTTCCTTTCAAATGATGTTTTTAAAAACTGCCCGGTGACTCGTTTTCTAGTTTTTGAGTCTGTGTAAAAAAGTTGTTAAAGGGGTCATATAATGGTACATGCACTTTTACAAGTTGATTGTACTGAAATGTGTGTTGGCAGTGCCTGTACACAACCATCATATAATGATAAAAATCCATCCAGTGGTTTTTGTTTTAATCTCCTTATATGTTTTCCCCTGCCTCAAATCGAGCCGTTCGAGCCTGTGACGTCAATAAAACGGACGCCCCTCCCACGATTGTTGATTGACGGGAGCGTTTCAACACAGACCCGCCCTCGCACATGAGGTAGCTGTCAATCATAGTCTGCGCGGCGCGGACCGGACCGGTCATTGTTGATATGCTGGAGCACTGTCTATGAGCAGAATGGCGTCTAAGCGATTGTGGTGTTCTGTTCTTGGGTGTAATAACGAACACAGTCATTTTAATGTTCCTAAATCCGAACCGCTGAAGACGCAGTGGCTGAGTTTGTTTTCGAAGGGAATATTCCCCACGAGCAACGTCAATGCTCTCATGTTTGCGCGATTCATTTCTCACCAGACTGCTTTATAAACGAGGGTCAGTATAAAGCTGGATTTGCTAAGAAGCTTTGCTAAAAAGGATCGGTACCAGATATTCGTGTTCCTGCTGAATCTCCAGAAGAACGGAAGTGAGTGTAATGTTTTATTAAACTTTATATTAATATATTAATCTTTGCAAATCGCTAGCTGCACGCTTCACAATGAATGCGTCTAAGGTTTACACTCAGGGTACATTACGGCATGTTTTCTATGTATGACGTTCTCAATATAATTCATAATCCCACGTTTATACTGAACAACGCGTTATGGTTATTGTGTTATTGTGTTACAAACGGTGCACAGAACAGAGAGGCGGGGTGAGCAAAGCTCATGATCATTTAAAGGCATATGCACTGAAACGGCGTGCTGAAAACAGAGCTGTTTTTGACCAGGTAAAATATGTGTTTTCTTACAATACTAATGAGAATTTTTAATTAAAGTATATTACAAACTTTTAATTTAGACCCTAAAGAATCATATTAGCTTGTACAAAAATGGCATTATATGACCCCTTTAAGAGTGTGGAGTGTGGGTTTTTTTTGTGCACTTACGCGTGCCTTACGAGGACTTACAAGGACTTACAAGGACTTACAAAGATAACAGCTACACGTGTATGCACTATGCAAGCACTATATACAGGATTTACCCTACTTTATCGACACAAATTAATAAGTCAAACACCCACCCAGAAATAGTCTATAGGCTCTCTGTGAGTTCACTTGAACTAGAGTTAAATTAGGCTACTCGTCAGGATACAGAAGAATACCATAATACCTCCGTTCAATTAGGCCTAAGACATCGAGAGTCACGCAGATCTATAACAACCCAGCCACAACACATAATTAGGAATAACATGCCTTAACACAGAATGGATTTCAAGTAATTCGCTCACAGATCAATGGCCTCCAACGTTTATATTTTTTCTACGAATTTTTGAGTTAACATGTAGCCTACTAAACATGATTGGAATTTGCACCGCAGCGCCACCACACCTTGATGCTCATGACAATAGCATAGGCCTCGTTATCTTTATTGAAGTGAATTAGGATTAAATCGCCGTCATTCATGAATGAATGATATTTTTGCTATTTTACACATAATAATCCAGGATGATCATATTACACAAAACTGAAATTGCATGCTTGCATGCCACAGCGCGGATGAACACAATGTTTGAGGAGAGTGTGTGTGTCAGTCACCGCCGGTGTGGATACTGGCATTCAGAATCACAGATTATTCTTTTTGGAAGTATGACCAACATAATAATTTTCACCCTAAAATGTCATCAGAACAAGTGAGTAACATCCACTTTTGATCTTCTGACCAACTAAGGGGAAAAAAAACCATTGCAGTAAATCGCGCTAATTAAATAACGATCGATTATCATATCACATCAAACCGTGCAAACTTTGTTCTCAATTTGGTAATGTTAACAACATCAGCATTGCGGGACTACATTTAATGCCCTTCAGAAATTTATCCTATTTATCTCAGTCCAAAGTCTTGCATTTTACAGCGGGTGAATCTCTAGTTGTCACTGTTGATTGTCGTTTGAACCTTTCTGGATCCGCCATCAAATTGATAAATTTAATTATATCAAGAGCTGTGAGAAAAGGCTATAAATCTCCACCTCCAACATCCTCACACGCAATATAGCTTATACTAGCCGAGACTCTTCTTTATGTGTACAGATGTGTGTGTACAGATGTGTGTGTACAGATGTCCGTGTACAGATGCGTGTGTACAGATGTGTGTGTGTACAAGTGTGTGTGTGTACAGGTGTGTGTGTGTACAGATGTGTGTGTGTGTGTACAAGTGTGTGTGTGTGTGTGTGTGTGTGTGTGTGTACAGGTGTGTGTGTGTACAGATGTGCGTGTACAGATGTGTGTGTGTACAGATGTGTGTGTACAGATGTGTGTGTATACAGGTGTGTGTGTGTGTACGTGTGTGTGTACAGATGTGTGTGTACAGGTGTGTGTGTGTGTGTGTGTGTGTGTACAGTGTGTGTATGTGTGCAGATGTGTGTGTACAGATGTGTGTGTACAGGTGTGTGTGTGTGTGTGCAGATGTGTGTGTACAGATGTGTGTGTGCAGATGTGTGTGTACAGATGTGTGTGTACAGATGTGTGTGTGCAGATGTGTGTGTACAGTTGTGTGTGTGCAGATGTGTGTGTACAGATGTGTGTGTGTACAGATGTGTGTGTGTGCAGATGTGTGTGTACAGATGTGTGTGTACAGATGTGTGTGTGCAGATGTGTGTGTACAGATGTATGTGTGTGTGTGTGTGTGTGTGTGTGTGTGTGTGTGTGTGTGTGTGTGTGTGTGTGTGTGTGTGTGCAGATGTGTGTGTACAGTGTGTGTATGTGTGCAGATGTCTGTGTACAGATGTGTGTGTACAGGTGTGTGTGTGTGTGTGCAGATGTGTGTGTACAGATGTGTGTGTGCAGATGTGTGTGTACAGATGTGTGTGTGCAGATGTGTGTGTACAGATGTGTGTGTACAGATGTGTGTGTGCAGATGTGTGTGTACAGATGTGTGTGTGTGTGTGCAGATGTGTGTGTACAGATGTGTGTGTGCAGATGTGTGTGTGCAGATGTGTGTGTGCAGATGTGTGTGTGCAGATGTGTGTGTACAGATGTGTGTGTACAGATGTGTGTGTACAGATGTGTGTGTACAGATGTGTGTGTGCAGATGTGTGTGTGCAGATGTGTGTGTGCAGATGTGTGTGTGCAGATGTGTGTGTACAGATGTGTGTGTGCAGATGTGTGTGTGCAGATGTGTGTGTACAGATGTGTGTGTACAGATGTGTGTGTACAGATGTGTGTGTGCAGATGTGTGTGTACAGATGTGTGTGTACAGATGTGTGTGTACAGATGTGTGTGTGCAGATGTGTGTGTGCAGATGTGTGTGTACAGATGTGTGTGTACAGATGTGTGTGTACAGATGTGTGTGTACAGATGTGTGTGTACAGATGTGTGTGTGCAGATGTGTGTGTGCAGATGTGTGTGTACAGATGTGTGTGTACAGATGTGTGTGTGCAGATGTGTGTGTGCAGATGTGTGTGTACAGATGTGTGTGTACAGATGTGTGTGTACAGATGTGACGTAATGACTCAAAGACATGCTCGAATCTACCGTTGAAATCCACCAGTACCACTGGAGTTACAAACATTATTACAAGCTTACCGCTTTGAATCGAGCTAAGGCAAGCAGATAGCGTTGAACACTGGCTGGTTATGTATTTTCTCAAAAATGTATTTTGAATAGCCTAATCTTTAACCCAAAAAAAGCTACGGACTGCAGCTTTAAATATAGTTTATCCTTATTATTATTATTTAATGAGGCTATAAATTAGCCTAATTATAATCAACACCTGCAAGTGTACACTTTGAAGAGTCAACTTTAAACTGCATATTGCCTAATCAAATTGCACTTCCAAAAGTCATACATTTGTGAAAAAAGAAAAAAAAAAGAAATAAACGAATTCTTTTAAGTAGGCTATAGCCTAATAAATAAAACATGAAAGGCAAAGATCAGAACATTTAATGAACAAACCCGGGTTCTGGGTTGTTGTTTAGGCTAATTTAGTTTTATACGTTCTCATATATTTTGTTCTAATAATCTCACAAGTAATAATCTCAAGGTTTACTGTATTTTACACGATTCTTTGGATCTTTTGAATAGCGCGGGTTTGGTGAAGTGTAGGTAGGCTACAAAAAAACAAACATTGTCACGTGTAGCACCTTCCTCTTCCTGAAGAAGCATGAGGTAGTTCCATCGCCAATCTGATAAACTGGAAAATGTTTTCTTTCTTGTTTAAAATCATTTTCTTTAGTGAGGTAATGGTTCGGCGTATTTCTGGTCTTCATCTACGCGATGGGCATCAAGGTAAGAACAGAGTTAATTTTTACTTATGATCCTGATGAATTATAACTTTTAAGTCTAAGCTGCTTATGCAACCGGCCACAGGTTAGGCTATTTAAAATAGTTTTTTCGATGTTTATGCGACTTTTCAGACTCCTTTATTGACTTTTTTTTTTTTAAAGAGCCTATAGCGACTTTTTGGACAAACTTTAATATCCCAAAATGTTGCCAGTAGCCTGTCCTGCGAGCGCGAGGTCTTGCTTTCCCCCTGCCGTCACTCTCTCTGCATCTGCATCTCCTGTTTAGCGAACGGAAGAGGACCAGAAGCTCATTCTGACGCACGGTCGTCATTGCATGTGCCAGTGGATAGCGTCACATTATCGCGACACACCTGACTGACACCGAATCGCGGAACGTCACCGTATGTTGTGACACCTCCAGTAGTGACTGGCAGATGAATCGTGACACTTAATCCTAAATAAATAGCCTAAGTTTGTGATATTTTAAATATCAATTAAACGCATTAAAGTCAGTAGCCTAATATTTTTTCAAACGTGTTATTTATGACCCTCTTGGAATTGCTCTGTTTATTATGTCAGGTCTGTATTTGATTGGCATGTGTCACTGAATGTTTTGTAATACCAGTGCTCAAGGGTGTAACTTTTTTTTTCAAAATGGGGAAACATTTTCCGATTTGAATCCAATTTCCTGCATTACATACATTGAGGGAATATGGGGACACAAAATACAGGAAATAATTTGATTATAATGATAAATTATGCCAAAAAGAAGAATAGTATACTAATATAATATAGGCTACTATACAAGAAAAATACGTCTTACTTTCTTAATTGTTTAATAAGGGCCGATCGACAAGACTTTCGAGAATCATTTTATATTATTACAAAACATTTTTTTTTGTGGATAAATAAAATTAAAATAATGTGAGACTTAATTTCCACTGTAATGTAAAAGCAACATAAAGACAGTATATTTTAAATAATTGTTTAATGGCATCTGTTTATGAATGAAGGCCAGAATCACTGATATTAATAGCTACTGATGTCTAGATGAAAATGAAGCGGATTTTCAGTTTTTGTCCCAATAAAAAGTGTTTTTATTGTTGTTGTTTGTGTTTTATGTTCCTCAGAGAGACATGAATTCTACTACATGTTTACAGTCTTGACCATAGGAGAACAATTCCCCACGTTCAGAGGTGTGGGTGTTGTGGATGACAGACAGATCGCTCAATGCAGTAGTGAAGTGGGAGAAAGGATAATAGCGAATTTAATTAAATTTGAGACCAAACCAAAACCTTTTACAGAACCATATGATTCTAGTGACTGGTACAAATATCAGCTGTACAGACTGTCAAAGTGCACACAGTGTTCTGGTGAGTTTAATGCTTTTCTCTTAAGAACTATCAGACATGTTATGAAATTGGATATATATTATTTTATTTCTCATGAGTGTTGTTCTGTGATTGTAGAGCTTCATGTTCTTCAGAGAAGAATTGGCTGTGAACTGGAGAAACTTCCTGATGGATCAGTGAATCAGACTGTCTTTGATGATTATGGATTTGATGGAGAAGATCTTATAACCTTTAATAATGACACTATGCAATGGATTGTGTTAAGTCCAAATGCCATACAAATCAAACAGGAATGGGATCTTTACACAGAACGCAATAAATTCCTGCAGCGTTACCTCAACAACTGCATTAACTGGATCTCCACATATAACAACACAAATAGTAGTAAGTTTTAATCAGATCACATTAATTATCTCTTGTCTCTGTGTGTGTTTGTATGAAAATGTGTTTCTAATTCTGTCTCAATCCAGCAGCCATTTATCGTCTTGCAGTGACAAATAAATACGAGTGAGTTTAAAATGTAAAACTGTTGAGGGGGTTCAGAAATGCAAGTGAAAAATTGTCATTTGAGTCTTTTATTTAACTTTATAGGTTTGTATGTAAAAGTGACATTCTTCACAGCAAAAACAGATCTTAGAAATGGTAAATGTTTAAGTTTTGCTTCATGCATGCAGGGGTTTTCTCTACACTCTTAGATGTAATTGTCATGTTTATTAGTGCAGATCAGTGTGGAGTGTAACAGAGTTTGTTTTCTAGAAGCAGTATATAGTGTCTCTGCAAATCAATGGATGTTCGTCTGGATTGCAGGAGTTTGATCTTCACAGTGGATTATCAGATTGTATGTCAGCTTACTAAATTATTAGATATAATTATACAAGTAAAACATGCCTACTCACTTGGCCTATGATGTTGTTGTTGTTTTTACCAACTTTCTTCTGTGGATCTGTTATGGTTCGGGTGTGAGGAAGATAGCGTACAATGACAAAGAAGACCTTGGAATAATATTTTAATAATTTAATTGGAAAAAGTACAAAGAGTGTCACAACCACAAACGAGAACCGACAAAGACAGAGGGAGAACACAGGGAATATAAACCGACAAAGACAGAGGGAGAACACAGGGAATATATGTGACAGGGAGGAACCGATTAAACTGATTGACAAGATAATTGAAGACACACAGCTGAACCAAAGACAGAATCATTTTTTTGTAAATGTTTGTTTGTTAATTTGTGTTGTTATTGTCTGCTCCAGGTTCTCCAGATGTTCATGTCTCTGTGAGTAAATCTCCAGCTGATGACAGTAAGCTGGTTCTGGTCTGTCTGGCCACTGGTTTCTACCCCAGAGATGTTCAGATGAACATCAGAAGGAACAGAATTAATCTTGAGGATCAAACATCTTCTGGAATCAGACCAAATGATGATGAAACCTTTCAGAAGAGAATCAGTGTGAAGATCGACAGAAACCATGAAGGATCTTATGACTGTCGGGTCACTCACAGCAGTCTGACAGAACCAGTTACAGTAAACTGGGGTAAATATCATCATATTTACCCTCACATATTTGTAACAGGAGAATATGATAATGCTGGAATAGATTAAAGTTGCCGTTTTAAGTTTTTGATGTTGATATAAAACATTTATTTAAACATTTTTATTGAATTTGTTTTTATTTATTATATTATTTTTCACTTTGCAGATGGAAAATGTTCTAACTGTGAACCAGAATCTGGATGGTCTATAGCAGGAGTGATGACTGTAGTTGGAGCTGTAGCTGTAGTTTTGGGTCTTACCGCTCTCATTGGGTTTTGCTGGTACAAGAGAAGGCCAAATGGTGAAATGTATGAACTATAAATGAAAAGTTTGGCAGTTTACAATGGTAGAAATATGTGAGCATGGTGATAGAGATTTTGATAATTTTGAAACAAATGAGAAGTGTGAATAAATATTCAAATATGTTTATATTTATTATATTATTTACAAGAACATAATATGTATTTTATACTGTATCTTTCCGGTCAGAGGAGAAGTTCTTCCTCTTACGGCGCAGTGATCGGATACCGATGGCCAGTCCAGATTCGACCATGATGATCATGGATCTACAAGCGGATGGATCTGAACGGGTCATTAAATGAAATGTTTTTCATGTTTGTTCATTCTGAATGTGTTATACTTTTCCAGTTATTTTCTGCAAAATGTGCATTTTGTTCTGAGTCAACTCTGCTTTATTAACAATAATGTTGACAAATCTTGTTTATTATGTTCTTTATGCTCGGCAGAAATATGATGCTTTCACATTTGAGAGTCTCTTGAAACATTTCAAAGGGTCGAGATCGCGTAATAAATGTTACATTCAGTTCTCTAGTTCAGTCAAATGGACAGAAGGGAATTGTGAATTAGTGTTTTATATAGAAGTGAAACATCTGGGAGTTTAAAATCTTCTGTTTTCTGTGATCTGATCAAAAGTGAAACAGAAAACACATTTGAAACGCTTGTTAAACCAGTTAAACACGGATCAGTTTCACAGTGTTTTACTCTTCAGAAGGCAAACAGTGAATTATTAACAGTTTTTAACATAAAACTCAAACTCATCACCTTTAAGAACTAAGACTGTTATAAATGGCAAAGCCAAGGCATTATTTAGCTCATTATTTTTACCTTGTTGAATATCATAATGTGGGAAAAAAAAACTAGTCAATAATTATTATTACATTTAATACTTATTACTATTAAATAATATACTATTTTCAGCTGTTACCAGGGAGAATATTATTCTGTTACCAGCAGAGAAAGTGTGTGTGTGTGTGTGTGTGTGTGTGTGTGTGTGTTATTCGCTGTATCTCTGTATCATCTGCTGCTAACATACTGACAGTCAGCAAGTGAGATTATTATGGGGTGCATGAGTTATGTTCAGCACTGGGATCAGACAAAATATTTTAGAAATAAGTTTTTACATTTGTGGTTTAATATTTTTATTTAAAAGATTATGAAATCATAAAAAAATAAAAATTAGACAAGTTAAAAGTTAAATCACTAGATTGCGTTTGTTCATCATTGTTACTTTTCATTCCTCACCTCAGCCTCTCTTCTCTGACATGAATCAATGCATGATCTACTGTAAGTGTTATTAATCTACTGTAAGTGTTATTAATCTACTGTAAGTGTTATTAATCTACTGTAATAGTTATTAATCTACTGTAAGTGTTATTAATCTACTGTAAGTGTTATTAATCTACTGTAATAGTTATTAATCTACTGTTAGTGTTATTAATCTACTGTAAGTGTTATTAATCTACTGTAAGTGTTATTAATCTACTGTAAGTGTCATTGTCGTGATTGTTTAAACTTTTAGCAGACGGTTAAAGTCTACAGGCTGATTTTATATAATGATCTTCCACTGGAATCAACGTCCTTCCTTTCAGATGATGTTTTTAAATGCTGTAAAAGCATATTTGTCTGTCTTTTTTTAATAATATTCTTTGTAACTATTACTTTATTGCTGCTGGATCATGATGAGATTGGATTAAGATGTCCTCATAGTGTTCCTGTAATTTTGCTAATCATGATTATTAGCGAGCACAAGATCACGGGTTTGATTCCCAGAGAACATGTACAGTATTGATCAAATGTACAGCCAGTAAAAGTGTGATTCTGGTAGAAGTGTCTGTCAGATGCATACTGTAAATGAGCCTCTGACAACATGTGTTAAATGTGCAATATTAAGAAATAAATGAGTCTTGAGTGTTTATGTACTGGATATGGTGAAATATGATGACTAATATCAGATATTTCTCTCAGCTCATATATAAAAACATGTTAGATAGAATATATAGTATGTAATAACTAGCAAATCACTATAGCTTCTGAGACTATGATGGCCAGAAATGCTGTCTATGTAATTCAGTGTGATCACTTCATGCATTTAACTGTCACAGCTTTAAGTTTTTGGTGCATCTTTGACTATCTGGAGATGAAATATTAATCCTGCTGTATTTGACAATCTCAGGTGAAGCTGTTTATTAAACTACTGTGAAAATTTCGTCTGATGACTTCAGAGATGGGGACTCGAGTTTGAGACTCGGACTCGAGTGCGACTTAAGTCGCACACACAGTGACTCGTCCTCGAAAGACTTCAGACTGTGGCGGGCCGCCACAAATATATGAACGTATGAGGAACCATGTATTTCACATAATTTGGTTCCAATAGTGTTTTGTATTTAGCTACACTGTGATGTTTTGCACTATGTCAATTTTAGTGCTGTGAGGTAGGCTATAACATTTTCTATATTTGGTCTTATGGCTCCAGCTCCACAGAGCCAGCACAATAGGAGCCAAGGCCTTTCATTACAATTCAGCAACAGACATGAGAGTCCTTTTTCTTCAGAACCTCAATTTTTACAGATGCAGATATTAACTTAAAAGTAAAGCATTCTTGGTGTTTTTGTCATGTTGAAATAGCCTGTTTACACTGATTATATACCTAAATCAAAGCTGATACTGTATGCCAATAGATAAAGGAGTCATAATAGCATTACATGCTTTGAATTCCTTATATATAGCTATGAAGTGTTCTAAGCAGCCTGGATGGGTCGCTGTACGTGATGCAACACTTATTATAAGCACAAGAGACTTGAGACTTGACTTGGACTCTAGCTCAAAGACTTGAGACTTGACTTGGACTCTAGTTCAGAGACTTGAGACTTGACTTGGACTCTAGCTCAAAGACTTGAGACTTGACTTGGACTCTAGCTCAAAGACTTGAGACTTGACTTGGACTCTAGCTCAAAGACTTGAGACTTGACTTGGACTCTAGCTCAAAGACTTGAGACTTGACTTGGACTCTAGCTCAAAGACTTGAGACTTGACTTGGACTCTAGCTCAAAGACTTGAGACTTGACTTGGACTCTAGCTCAAAGACTTGAGACTTGACTTGGACTCTAGTTCAGAGACTTGTGAGCATCTCTGGATGACTTTTACACTCGTGTCTTTAGAGCAGAGACTGATATTGATTCATTAAGATTTATATTTCATTCAATTCAACTTTGTTAACGAGCGCACCAATATATACAAGTTCAGCGATCAGCAACATTTATTAAAAACAAGTTTTTTTTTAAATTGTGTATATTTGTTTAAAAACTAAAAATAAGTCATAAAACTTATTTGATTATTTGAGAAGTGAATGTGTTTGTATAGAACTGTATTTTTATAGACCATATACACACTGAAGCTGAATATCTGACTCGCTGCTTCTAAGTGCTTTAAATCAACATGAAATCAATTTTGACTCTATTTTTTCAACTCTTATTTCATGATCATGAATTAATTATATTTCAATCACATGGCATATTTAAAGAAACGTCATCATCCACACAATAGTGATGATAAAACTAAACCAAAAAGTGAAAATACCGTAAAACTTCAAATAATAGCCGAGTCCCAAATAGACGCCTGTCTCTTTTACACGCCTGGTGTGTCTGCAGGTTTGGGTAAATAAAGGCCGGTCTCAAATAGAGGCCGGGTCTGTTTTTTTAGTTTCGGGTTGTATTTAATCCTCTAAAACCGTCAGATCGTCCGCTTTTTGGCTGCGGCCAAAGCAAATTTTCGTCCCCCCAAAGCCTTTTTTGATCGGTGAGTGATGTAGAATGACTGCTGCGCCTGACAGGGCGCGTAACGAGCAGAGAGAGAGAGAGCGCCCCGACCGCGCACGCGCACTCTCACGTCTTCAAACAACACGAGCGCTGCCTTGCTCTCTCTCCCTCGCGCATATTAATCAAAATCAATTGACGCGATAGTAAAAGGTCGGAAGACCGCAGTTTCACGTGGAGCATTTGGAGATTTTTAGAGATTAGAGACAGGCCTATACACTCAATGAACAACATCTAAACACTAAATTATAAAGGCCTGTCTCATATAGACGCCTGTCTCAAATACAAGCCGGTGCAGTTCGACGATTTGGGAAAATAAAAGCTCGGGCTACTATTTGAAGTTTTACGGTAACAGAAGTCAAATGTCACTCATTTGTATTTGTGTCACATGACGGAGGCCCGTCTGACGAGTCAACTCTGATTGGATGAGACTCGCGAAGAGGCGTGTCCAGATCTGTATGTCTGGTGCTTTTACCAATTTGTGCATATTATAGTAATAATTTAATTAAATTTCAGTCTGCACATACATTTTTCAAATGACTTCAGAAGACCTTATGGCACAGAATGTCATAGGGACTATTTTATGGAGTAAGATTTATATTAATTTACATTCATTTGATTGTCCTGTTTGGCCGTGACAGAATGTTTTGATATATGTTCACAGTTTATGCTCTCAGAAACTATAGTGTGAAAACTGTGTTTTAAGGTCGTTTTAAAAAGATAATACTGTTAACAACGAATTTAAATTATTTTCACGGGTGGATTTTTCCTCAACACGTGACGTCAGGACTGAAAACGAAAGTGTGATTCATCGCGCCGCCAGTGAGGGGCGACAGTGAGCGGAAACACGTCACGCTCAACACAACCCGGAAGAGACCATAGATATATACATCTATGGAAAGAGACGAGATTAACTTTCACTTCAATGTTTAATCTGTTCAAGACGCTCGTCTGAAATATAATGGACGAAAACGGTTGATTGGCTCTACTTTTTAAATGTTCTGTAGACATGAGAATGTTTTTGCTTATTTTTGTATAGTTTCACTCTTTATTTAGCGATGGGCAGCAAGGTAAGAACACGGTTTATTAGTTTCAGTAGACTAGATGCGACCTACAAATTGCAGTCACTTACAAACATACTATATGAGCAGTATAAAATATATTGTACAAGAAAATACAGTTTTACAGTATACTTTATAGTATAGTATGTTTTCAGGTTTTAAGTTAGTTTTATCCACCATTTGTCAATATATGTCGTCATAGCTTGTTTTCTTATACTGTATGTTCCTCAGAGAAACACTTCCTCCACTATAAGTTTACAGTCCTGACCAGAGCAGACTCCCTCCCAGAGTTCAGTGCTGTGTGTGTTTATGACGACAGACGGATCTCACACTTCAGTAATGAAGAACGAGTCTGGATTCTGACTGATAAAGACTGGACTGAAGCTCCTGAAGATCCTCCTGACTCTAGAGACTGGTTCATACATCAGA